CTTATATTATTATCGATTGATTTATTCAAATGGGTTTCGATATAAACAGATTCCGGGAATCGGATATCAAAGAGGAGTTTATTTGTCCGATTTGTCACGACATCCTTCAGGAACCGATTCTTCTCCAGACGTGCGAACATGTCTTCTGCAGTCAGTGTATCAATGAATGGCTTCAGAAATGCAAACAAAAGTCGTGTCCAATCGATAGGGAAGAGATCTGCGAGAACTCTCTGCGACCTCCGCAGAGATCCTTCAAGAATTTGATCTCAAATTTATTGATTTCATGCGATTTTCTCTCAAATGGTTGCCAACAATGGATCAAAATAGACGAACTGTCAGTCCATACAAATGCTTGTGTTTATAATCCGGTAATTATGAGCCAAAAGATTGAATGTCCGGCAAATTGTGGAGCAATTATCACACGCTGTGAGAGTAGAGATGAACACAATTGTGTGATATTTCTTAAGAAAATTATTGATTCAAATAAGGATAGTATTGAAGAATTGGTTAATGAAAACAAACGTCTGTCCAAAGAGAGCAACACATTGAATACTAAATACAATCACTTGAAAGACGAATACGAAGAGGCGATGAATCAATTGAAACATTTTTGTATTGAAAATAAAAAGTTTTCAACTGATTTGACGAATACTAAACAGGAGTTAGCGATTAATAACGAAAATCTCATTCAATTAAATAAAACTAATGACAAGAAAGACATGACTATCGACGCCCTGAAGACAGAGATTCAGAATCTTAAGAAAAACAACCAAACAATGCTCCAAATGTTGAAAAGTAGAGACAATGAATCCAAACATAACGGAAACCATTGTCCAGAATCGTTACCTCTTATAAGTTTTGACAATGATTTGAGAGAACCCGAGAGAAGCCCTTCTAGTGATACACTAATCAAGACATCCGTAGATAACAAGCAATTGATTGAAGCGCTCTCTAAGAGACACGGATTGTCCAACAGAAGAGTCATCTCCGCTATGCTATCAATAGATAGGGGAGTGTTTGCCCCCTCAGCGGCCAGTTATGTCTTACATCACATCCGATCGATTGGTTACGGGGCGCACACGGGTCCGGCCACTTACGAGGCCGCACTTCTTCAGTTCCTTGAGCCCCATCTGATGCCTAACTGTAAAGTTCTCGATATCGGTTCGGGAACTGGTTTTTTGACCGCTTGTATAAATTGCGGGCCAAAGGAATGTTAATTATAATTCCTATGATAACAGAGGCTATCAAAGAAGTAATCAGGACTTACATCAGAGACCGTCGGGACCTTCCGGAAGGACTAACTTTTAATCATGAAAATTCTTAAACACTTTTACTTATATTGTATTTTAAATATAATTTTGTCATTTATTTATTGTTTCAATTTGTATGCAATTATAATATTATGTATTTTTAATAAATAATTTGTTTTTTCCAAAAGAATTTTGTGTGTGAATACTTTTCTATCGATAAAATAAATGTTAATCTAATTAAATGTGAATTACAATTTTCATTATAACCCAGATTTCATTAACTAATAGCAATATTTATCAGCAATTAGTCATTAATTAAATAAAATTTCTACTAAAAAGTTAGCGAAATATTTCTTACGCTCATTGAAAAGATTATAGTTGTTATCAAACGGCAAATATTTCACTTTTTAATCAAATAATCGGTAACTAATAGTGACAGTAATATTAACTATAATAGTAAATTGAATTAATGTATTAACTCTATGCAGTGTTATTAACTCTAAAGTATTAATACTTTATATGATGTACAGTATTGCTAACATGTATATGAAATAAGAGTTTTAAGTCCTGTTTGTGATAAAAGTTTTTTTTTGTAAACAAATTCGTTATTCGTATTAATTATATGAAGAATTTGCGGATAAAAATACTTATATTATTATCGATTGATTTATTCAAATGGGTTTCGATATAAACAGATTCCGGGAATCGGATATCAAAGAGGAGTTTATTTGTCCGATTTGTCACGACATCCTTCAGGAACCGATTCTTCTCCATCTTATATTATTATCGATTGATTTATTCAAATGGGTTTCGATATAAACAGATTCCGGGAATCGGATATCAAAGAGGAGTTTATTTGTCCGATTTGTCACGACATCCTTCAGGAACCGATTCTTCTCCAAACGTGCGAACATGTCTTCTGCAATCAGTGTATCAATGAATGGCTTCAGAAATGCGAACAAAAGTCGTGTCCAATCGATAGGGAAGAGATCTGCGAGAACTCTCTGCGACCTCCGCAGAGATCCTTCAAGAATTTGATCTCAAATCTATTGATTTCATGCGATTTCCTCTCAAATGGTTGCCAACAGTGGATCAAAATAGACGAACTGTCAGTCCATACAAATGCTTGTGTTTATAATCCGGTAATTATGAGCCAAAAGATTGAATGTCCGGCAAATTGTGGTGCAATTATCACACGCTGTAAGAGTAGAGATGAACACAATTGTGTGATATTTCTTAAGAAAATTATTAATTCAAATAAGGATAGTATCGAAGAATTGGTTAATGAAAACAAACGTCTGTCCAAAGAGAGCAATACATTGAATACTAAATACAATCACTTGAAAGACGAATACGAAGAGGCGATGAATCAATTGAAACATTTTTGTATCGAAAATAAAAAGTTTTCAATTGATTTGACGAATACTAAACAGGAGTTAGCGATTAATAACGAAAATCTCATTCAATTAAATAAAACTAATGACAAGAAAGACATGACTATCGACGCCCTGAAGACAGAGATCCAGAATCTTAAGAAAAACAGCCAAACAATGATTCAAATGTTGAAAAGTAAAGACAAAGAATCCAAACATAACGGAAACCATTGTCTAGAATCGTTACCTCTTATAAGTTTTGACAATGATTTGAGAGAACCCGAGAGAAGCCCTTCTAGTGATACACTAATCAAGACATCCGTAGACAACAAGCAATTGATTGAAGCGCTCTCTAAGAGACACGGATTGTCCAACAGAAGAGTCATCTCCGCTATGCTATCAATAGACAGGGGAGTGTTCGCCCCCTCAGCGGCCAGTTATGTCTTACATCACATCCGATCGATAGGTTACGGGGCGCACACGGGTCCGGCCACTTACGAGGCCGCACTTCTTCAGTTCCTTGAGCCCCATCTGATGCCTAACTGTAAAGTTCTCGATATCGGTTCGGGAACTGGTTTTTTGACCGCTTGTATTGCATCAATGATCGCACCGAATGGTAGAGTAGTTGGCATCGAACACATCCCTCAATTGGTCCAACAGTCCATCCAAACCATTGACAAACACTGTCCGCAACTCAAAGAGTCGGGTGTTTTGAGAATAGTTTTGGGAGACGGAAGGTTTGGCTACAATTCTGAAGCTCCATACGATCTCATATTCATTGAGCCGTTGACCCGACGAGTGCCGCAAAAACTGATAGACCTGTTACGGCCCGGCGGATCTATTGTAGTGCCGATCGGCGCCCGAGAGAAAGACATCAATTTAGAGCTCTTTACCAAACAATTGAATGGAGAAGTCGTTCGTCTCGTCCTCTGCGACGACTGGAAACTAATGCAAGAAAATACTCCCGATTTGCTCGAAGACAAGAAAATGCAATTGAGATCCGGTTGGAAATTAAAGCTCGGTTTCTAGCGTTTATTGAATTGATTGAAATAATTGAATTTTATAATGTTTTTAGTTTATTGTAAATAATTATCAAACAATTCATTTTAACATTATTATTTTATAGCATTTAATATTAAAATGATACATTTAAATTACAAATAATATTTAATGTAAAGTTATAAACACTTTTAAATGCTGACAATAGATGTGTCTCTATTTCTTATATGATAACTACTAACAGTGTTTTCATTATCACTGCTTAGATCACATCCATCGTCGGTCGAGAACTTAACTTTCGTCCCATTCTTTCCCTTCTTTAATGTAAAACTTCCAGAATTTAAATGATTTTTTGAGCACAATATCAGAATAAATACAATGACAGCAATAGTTATGGCGATATAGTTATAGCAAAGAAAGAATATGGTATTATTCTTTGAAATAAATCTATCAATAATTTGTGTATTAATTGTGGACACGAATGAACTGAAGAATATGACAATAGCTATAATATTGTTGTTAATATGTATGTATCGCTCCAATAGAGACAGTATAGATGCCGGGGTCGCCGAGAAACCAATTCCCATTAAAATGTTTATCTAAAAATTAATCAATTAATTAATTTTATATTTACTAATAATAGTTATGCGATAATTACAATAATTAGTACACCAAACAAATCCTTTCCAAACAAAATGAGTGTAATGTTAGCGCAGATAATAATCAGACAACAGATTATAAGCATAATATGTGGTCTGAGATGACGGGCGACGAACACATCCAACAATCTGAACAACGCTAACGAGCCATACATCGAGAGTGTTGTGTATGCGATGTATTCTTCTATAAATTCATATAATTTTTTAATTAAAACATTTTAAAATTCTTGTCTCTATTGTTATGACAATAATTACTTTTGTTGTCAGAATTATGGAAATAAATGGATAAAAGCCTAATATTAGCGAATTCGACCGCAGTATAAGCCGAGAGCAATATAGAGCCGGATATGATGTAAAATAATCTTTGCCACGACTTTATGGATCCAATGCTCGATCCGTCGCTGAAAATATGATTTCTTTGTAATGTTTTATGAGTTGCTTTGAGTTGTCTTTTTCTGTTTGTTTTGTGTTTCATTGAATTCATTGACTGAATAATTATAAGCAAAGAAGTGCCACAAATGGCCAAAAATGCTTCGCAAACGCTCGGAATAATGTTTTATGAGTTGCTTTGAGTTGTCTTTTTCTGTTTGTTTTGTGTTTCATTGAATTCATTGACTGAATAATTATAAGCAAAGAAGTGCCACAAATGGCCAAAAATGCTTCGCAAACGCTCGGAATCCTTTCCGATAAATTCTTAACACATATTTTGTCAGATATTTCATCTAATAAATCATGTTTTAAATATTGAATTAGACTTTCATTATACAAATGGTTAAGACTATTGTTTAATGAATAACTGATTTCCTTATCAAATGAAATATCTTCTGTCAGATAAATAGTTTTATTTGAATTAAAGCATTGAATATCATTATCCGTATGAATAAAATTCTTGTTAAGCATTGGTTTTATAACAGAACCAAATGTAATGAAAAAGAAAAGTGTGTGAATATATGGAGAACTTTCTTCCCTCCAAACACTGATTATCCAAACAATTAGTGTTGTGTACAAAACACCGGCCGATAAGCCTTTTATGCCATACAATGCTATTATTGTCCAATTTATAGTGAGATGAGAGCAAAACACGTTAATAAATGATACGAATATTAGGGAAACCATTGCACAGATATTATGACCAAATAGATTAAGTAATATTAAACTCAATATTGAGCCCAAAGTAAATGCAATGCTAAATATAGTGTTTATAAAAGTTATATTTTGTATGGAAATATTGAGAGCGTTTTGAATGTCTTCCGCTGTTAATGGGTTTACACTTGTTGTCAATCCCTGAATATAAATCAATTTCAGTAATAATTAATTAAATATTAAATTGATTTCCAATAATACTCACAAAAATAAAGGCACAGAAATAGATACTCAAAGAGTTAACAAAATGTTTGGTAGACTTTGAAATCCTTTTCTCTCTTATTTGAAAATTGAATCGAAAAATACTGGAAATCCTTCTGTTGTTATTATTGGGAAACATTTCGTATTCCTCTTTGTCTTTCATTCGCTTAAGAATCGCATTGTTATGGTTTGTATTGTTGAGGAACTGATTCGCCAATTTGATCGACATTTCAACCACTATTGAACACTACTTTCATAATATTGTGACCAAAATGTGAATGTAATTGTGTTAACACTTTTATAATACTTTTTGTGGTCATGAAAATGTAAGTCTTACTTGTCGTGCTATCAACTCGTGATAAATATATTTATAGCTGTGATATAACATATAAATGTGATTTTAATTATTATAATAAATATACCTTATAATAAGTAACCTATAAACATTTTTGATGATTAAAATAATAAAATAATACAGGTATCTAAAAAATACAATCACTAAATATACTACACTAAAACAATGTTGTATAAGTTATATACTATATATTTTATATAGTGTTTGATTGTCTCAATTGAATCGCTTTTATAGACAAGAATTCATTTGAATTCATGAGAGAAAAATGAGATGAAAATTGAAAGTTTCAAATAATGCGCCCGAAATGCAAACCACTCTCACATGCATTGCATAAGCATTAGAGCCGACACTCGAGTCGATAATGTGTTGACAAACAGCGAAAAGCATGTGTTTTACCAAACATTCAATCATAACATGTAATCCAATGTCTCATTAAATACGAGTATTTGGACACCAATTGTGGGAAACAATGAACCGATTGTCACGAGTTGTGTCCAAAACGATGTCAAACGTGAGGATTATATCGAGACAACTGAAGAAGGATTACAACGAAATGGTTTACGATTTGAAACGATTGCCGAAACGGACTCTTGAGTTGGTTTACAACGGCGTCCTCTTTGTGTCAGTCATGGCTCCGACCGGTGTTTATATCCTCTATAATACCGTTTATCTCAATCGTTACCAACAGTTGGTCTCTCTTCGCGTGTAAGTCATTCACACCATTGTCTCAATCCATGCGTTCATTGCATGTCTGATCCCTTTCGCAGAAAAGGCAATCCTTTGCCACTCGAAGAAAACCTCGAGTTATTAGCTCTTCGGGAGTGGAATGTCTCACACATTGCCCGACAATACAAACTCATGGATCTGATGGAGTTCTTCCTCTGCAGCGGCACTCAAGTACTGACAG